AAAAAAAAAAAAACACCAAAAAAACAAAAACAGCCAAGATTGCCCATCTGGTCCTGTTCCTTGTGACCTTTCCTAACGGCGAGATCCCTTTGCGTTTCAGCAGGAGGATGCCGGCTTGCATAACGTCATCCTGTGGCCTCCAGACCCTGAGCCCCCACAGGTACTGGGGATTGTGCGTTCTGCATGGCTTCCCTCTAGCCCCTTTCTAATGCCTAGATGGTTGCAAACATTTGGTGTGGCATGTGCTTTTATTTATTTAGGTTTTCTCCTTCTCCCTCTTCCATTGCTTCCTTCCATCCACCCCAAATAAGTTGTAAAACACAGTTGAAATTGACAATTTATGTTTAGATTTTTTAGGATAGCATGTTAGTACCTGTCCAAGACTGGCTTGGTTGACGTGTTTTGCGATGCTGAATAAGGCCTGTGTTGCCAGCAGAAAACGCAGATGCCAGGAACCAACACACCAACACTAATGCCTCCAAGCTCTTCTGCCTTGATTTCCTTTGGCCTCCAGTGAAGCTGGGGATGGGGTGGTGGCCCCACATTTGCTGCCTATGAGCAAAACCGATGTGTCATAAAAGAAGATTAAATTCAGAATCAGCTCTCGGTGTCATGCAACAGTGTGCCGGCAGAGTCCCACTGCGGTAGCTCTGCCCAGCGTTTGCCGTCCTCTGGGGAAGGGGGTAAATAAGCAGCTTTGCATCACCTCACAGTGCATTTTCCTGGAGAGGATGTTGAAGTTAGTGTGTGTTCACGGGTGTGGTCAGGGTGAGGCTGTAAAACCCCTGGCTCCTCACTGGCCTGCTCTGAAGTCCCCTTCACACCTGGCCAGGTATGGCAGTCGTCCAGGTGGATGGCTGTTAGGTGGGTGCACTGGATACATTTTTTTCTTTGCACATTCCAGCAAGGAGTGATGTTTAAGGTCCTGAAATAACCATTTGCATAGGGTGTCGGGAAGCCTTTTCACGTGTGTGAGTTCATCTGCTTCTGCTCATAATCCCATGAGCTGGGCTGCTGACTCATGTTTTATGAACACAGAAGGAGGCTCGGAAGGTTAATCATCCCAGGTCATTTGGGTGAGTGGAGGAGTGAGAATCAGAACTCTGGGGCTCTAAGGCTGCTGGGACAGTGGTTTCCAAACTGGGTTCCCAGAAATCCTGGAGCCAATAGCAATGCTTCTAGGACTGGCCCAGGACAAAGAGGAAGTGGAGAGGGCAGAATCCAGCTACCTACACCCCCCCGTCCCCGCGCCGACCTTCCACCAGGACGGCTTACCCTATGTGACTTTATATTGCAAGGCGGCTCTTAGAAGAAAATGCTTTGAAATCAGAGTTAGAAAGAAACACTGATCTGGTCCACCTCCATTATTTTTCAGTTTTGTGCATGGTGGATCCGGAGGACAAGGCACTTGCTCATTGCCATAAATGAGCGGCAGGTTGGAGACAAGATGTCATCTTGGGGGATTCTAGTCCAGGCTCCAGGGCTGTCCCTGTGAGGGGAGGAGCACTTTGTCCGGCTCCATCTCCCAGAGGTCTTCCATAGCGCTTTGCAGCAGAGCTCAAGAGCTCAGTCCCAAGCTCCCACGCCAAGATGTGATGTGGATATAGTTTTTTGTTAGCTTGGTGGGCATTTGGGAAACCCCTCCCTGCTGGGCAACTGGTACTTATTTAGGTGCTGTGATCACTAGAGGGGCAAGACAAACAAGGGCCTGCCCTCTGGAACTTACAGCCAACTGGGAAGTCAGATAAGCAAGTGAATAAACAGACATCAGTGAGTACATACAGTGGTTTCATTTGAAACTTTATTGTGTGTGTATTGTTTACCAGGCATTGTTCTAGCACTTGAGAATCAGTAGCGAACAATTCAGCTGTGATCTGCTTGAATGAAGTTTCCTTCTGAGGTGCTAATAGGTAGAAAACACATCATAAAATTTCCAGTGGTAACCGGGTTCAGGGGCTATCTTTTATTATTGCAGTAAACTATGTGTAAGTAAGATTTACCATTATAACCATTTTCAGTGGACATGTCAGTGGAATTAGGTACATTAGTACATTGCTGTGCAACCATCACCACCATCCAGCTCCAGAACGTTTTCATCTTCCCAAACGGAAACTGCCCATTACACACCAACTCCCCATCCTCCCTTTCCCCAGCCCCTGGGAAACTTTCTTTCCTTCCTTTCCTCCTTCCCTCCTTCTTTCCTTCCAACTGGGTCTTATTCTGTTGCCAAGGCTGGAGTACAGTAATGTGATCATAGTTCACTGCAACCTCCAACTCCCGGGCTCAATCAATCCTCCCTCCTAAACCTCCCAAGTAGCTAGGATTATAGGCACACACTACTGTAGCCGGCTGCTTTGTCTGTGAATTCAACTACTGTAGGTACCTCATGTAAGTGGAATCATATAGTATTTGTATGTGATTATTATTTCACTAAGCATAATGTCTTCAAGGTCCACCCATGTTGCTGCATGTCAGAATTTCCTTCTCTGTAAGGCCGAATGATATTCCGTTGTATGTATGGGCCACATTTTGCTAATCCATTATTTTTTTTTGAGATGGAGTCTCACTCCCACCCAAGCTGGAGTGCAGTGGCCATGATCTCAGCTCACTGCAACCTCCTTCTCCTGAGTTCAAGTGATTCTCATGCCTCAGCCTCCCGAGTAGCTGGGATCACAGACACACATCGGCACACCCGACTAGTTTTTGTATTTTTAGTAGATGGACACTTGGGTTGCTGCCATCTTTTGCTATTGTGAATAATGCTGTGATGAATATGTGTGCCCATCTAAGTATCTACGTCTCTGCTTCCTGTTCTTTTGGGTATATACCTAGAAGTGGAATTGCTAGATCATATGATAATTCTATATGCACGTTTTTGAGAAACCGCTAAACTTTTCCACAGCAGCTGCACCATTTTACATTTCCACTAGCAATGTACGAATGTTCCAATTTCTGTACATCCTCACCAACACTTCTTACTTTCTGTGTGTGTGTGTGTTTAATTACATGTTTGTGGGTGTGAAGTAGTATGTCATTGTGGTTAGGGGCTATTTTTGATGAGGTACATAGGAGAGCTCTCTGCAGAGACCTGGGGTACTGAGAAGGAGACGGCCACATAAGGTTTTGGAGAAGTGACATTCTGGAATAAGGAAACAGCTGTGTATAGTATAGGAATAACGTAACAGTATGGTAGGAATGAGGTTGCTCTACTTTTTTTTTTTTTTTT